GTGCGTTAAGTATTGTGATAATATCGTATCGAGGGATGTATGGTGATTCCCACCTCTGTCATTACCACAGTGATCTAGTAGTAACACGGGGTCAGGGGTGGAGGGGTGATTTTTGAATGTATACTGGTAAAAAACACATTAAAAACAACAATAAAAATGCACATGCAAACATGAATACAAACATGAATTTGCTTTCTTCATTGCAATAATATCAATATTTGTTGGGATGTTAGAGACTGGAACTCTCTACTGTGCAGTTTGTGTTGTTTACGTTTCTAAAGTTGTGATCATGTAGTGTTAAAGTTCCATTAAAGTCTGCTGGTTTTATTGTAAGTTAATGACATGAGAGTGGATATTAAATAGCATTAGATGAATAAAAATAAATGAACTGTTTTGTCTTTCATGTTATATTCCTTTAAGACAACAAACAAACATATTTTAAGAGACTGTGATCATAACAATTTTTGCAAAAACATGAGAGCTAACCGATATGGACAACAAATACAAGTCTTGTGCACATTACACCTACAGGAGCTGTTCAGCTATGGAAATACCACAAAGCTGCAGGTGCAGTTTTTTACTGGTGTTTGCTGATGATAATGAGAGAAGAGGTGTGGAAGTCTGCAGTCACTGAGTCAGTAATGTTAGTCGCTGTTATGCGCTGTGGCCTCAGCAAGCTTCATGCGACCCTGGTGCGAGATGTACATTAAATGAAACGATGGTGCTCATGCACGTTTTATCTTTGCTTTTAACTTAATATGCTTTTAGCCATAGAACCAATAACCCTTGAACCTGTACGTGTAAAAGGAAACATTCTTGTAAACCACAGAAAACATCAGAGGAAGTGGTTTGATACTGAAGGGTGGAGGCTAATTTTGTGTGTTTGAGATAAATTACTACATGCAAAGAGATTTTGAACTCTAATGAGACTACCTACTGTAATGAGATATATAAATAAAGTATATACGTACTGTGTAGTATAAACCACAGGAATAGTGAACTGACTAAAGGGATAGATTTCGTAACATAAAAAGGGCAGATTTTTAGAGTAGAATACAAAAGAGTAGAATATGAGTAGAGTATAAATTATCTCAAAAAATAGTAATTAAAAAAACTCTTAAAAAAAACCCAGTGGGTCTGTGATATGAAGGGAAACTAAGCAGGCTCTCTGAGATTACAGTTAGCTGAAGCTGTTGATGTAAGCTATCATTGCCCAATAAGCAAAACCAGCTACTCTTTTAGTTTAGTTAAAAACAGCTTTTAAAACTAGAGGTCTTAAATCTGCAGAGCTGGATCACTAAAAAGGTCCAAACCTGCAGTTTCTCTCTCAAATGTGCAATCTAATGATCCCAGGAGGGACATTTTATAAAGCATTAAGTGTCTGAATCATCCTAACACTGAATTCTTGTTTTGGTCATGAAAAAATATTCGATTTAGTTACATTTTTTTGTAAATGCACTTTAAATTGTAATGCACACATAATAAGACACTGAAACTGATTTTAATGTATCTTTAAATGGCTCATTAATTGTTCCCAAAACATAATTGTACTTTTTTAGCTAGTAATTGACAAAATCTTAAATATGTGAAATGCTTCAGATTTTTCATGCTGCCCATAAAAACATGTAAAAAGTATCTAAATCAGCTTTCCAGTTCAACCAGGGAAATTTTCACCAACTCATTCACACTGACGCACACAGCATTTATTTCCTGTTTACTGGCAATCAAAAGAAGTAAGTTACACAGAGGGAGGAGCTGTGTTTAAGGAAAAAAATTAAAAAGGACAGACAGGAAGGCGGGGCGAGAAAGTTTTAAGTCACATACGGGTGAAATTCAAGAAACAACCCTGGAGAGTCTCAGACAAACCAGTGAAAGCAAACAACATCAGACTCTTAAAGAAGCATCGACACGCAGCACGGTGATGTTACTGCTACTACTCATCGTCTCACTCACAGGTAAAAAGATAACTAACACTTGTTAATACAACAGACTACTGAATGTTACATTACAATAAATATGCTGCTGGTGATTATGTATTTTTGGATTAGTTTAAGCTTTTTATTTTTTTTATTTTTATTTTTTTTAAATTTCAATTTTAAGTCTGTTCATATATTTTAAAAATGGCAAAAAGATTTTTACAACTTAAGCAAACAATCACATTTTAATCATATATAATATATAAATAGAAAAACTAAAATTGTGCTCATGCACTTTAATAAAATATACCACCTTAAAAATGTTAACATTAATTATGTGCACCATTTGTTTTCTTTTACATAACAGATTTTCACCTTGTTTATTAAAGCTTTTAGGAAGTAAACGTCTGATTGGATAATCTCGGGTCATACCATCTGAACATAGCAGCCCGAGTCTGTCGCTACAACAAACACTGAATTTAAATAGTTACATGGATGAGACATCATGAACCAGGCAACAAATCAAAAACAGGTCTTAGTGTACAAATATCTTTGTGGTGTAAGAAGTGCTAAAAATTTTATTTCTCTCATATATGTCAAGAACAAACATGCATGAAATTAATGTTGACTTTGACTACGTGGCTGCAGCTCCAGATTCTTACAAAGAGATTTTTTTCATTTTCAGGTTGTGAGGCTGAATCTGAAGTGAGAGCGTGTCAGCATCGATGGGCTGAAATCACCTGCAAATATCCTGAAACAAATAACAAATATCAGGACACACAAGTAGTTCTTTCCAATGGAACACCTGTACGAAGCTCTAAGCAGGACGTGTGGGAAGATAATGGCAGACTTTTCCTCTACCATGATACAAAAAATAAAAATCTCAGGGTTGCAATAAAACATGTTAAAGAGCGAGACTTTGGGAAGTACAGGTGTACATTTTTCCAAAGATCGAACTCATCTGACATACAGGAAGGAAAACTGGAGACTGGTAAGAAATATCATCATCCTTGTGTCAGACACCAGACGAGGCACACACAGGAAATCAGAATATTTGATTAAAAAATCGATGCAGAACAAAAGAGGAGTTTAGGAAACACTGGGAACTTTTTTCTGGCTCATGAGCTGCAGTACGAACTTTTCTAAAACATTTCCACAGTTAGTGAGTCCCCATCTATTCAAAGTAATGCAGCCAAGGACATTTCAAAAAGTCACCTGAACATAAAAGAAACACGACAACTTAAAATAAACTGCTTTAATTCTCTGATTTGTTTACAGAGCATGTAAACTGCCCGCCAACATTTCTCAGTGTGTACAGAACAGCGAACAGCACCATCACATGTGTTTATCCAGATGTTTACAAGTCCCACACAAAGTTCTTCTGTAAAAAGAACCATTATACCTGTGAGAACATTTTATCAACAAAAGGGAAGTTTACTCTCACAGGCAGCAGCCGTGCCTTAAACATTTCCATCAGTCATGTGACCTCACAGGATGCTGGTGATTATGTGTGTGGAGTGGAATCAAGTAATGGAAGTTACAGATAATCACACACACATGTACACCTGAAAGTTATAGGTGAGTATTCCACATGTTCAGTATCACAGGTTTAAATGATAAAAGCTGGCTGATAAGCTGAAGGCAAATATTTGTCTTTTTGTCTTCAGATATTCAACCTGTAACACAAACTATTGGGCAGAACTTCACATACCAGTGCAACTACAACCAGAATGTCTCCTTATGTATAAAATTCATCTGCAAAGGAGAAGATTCAACTGTGTGCAAACAGCTAGTAACCACCACAGAGCCTGACGTGAAACAGAGGTTTATAATGAAAAAGAACAACGGGAGTATCACCATTACAGTGAGAGAAGTAACAGCAAACGATAGTGGGATATACTGGTGTGGAGCGAGAGTCCCTCACAAACACAATCAAACACGTGACGACTTCTTTGATGGATTTCATTTGACTGTAGGTAAGTTGTGCTGTTTGTTGTGTGGGTGACTGTCGAGATCAACCTATCAAAGAAAATACGTCACTTTTTAAGACATTTGCTCGTCGTCAGTCAGAAATCAAAAGGAAATGTGAGGTAACACAGACTGTTTTCTCCTGGACTATAAGTGGAATATTAGGGCTATGCTACAATCATAATTAACAGCAATAGCAGGGTAATGTTTTGTGATATAACAACATCACATCTTTAGTTTCCTTAGTGCACATAAGAATGGATAGAAATTAAGAAAGGCTTTAAGGTACTGGTTAAAAAACAACATCATAAATAAAAGCTTCTTTTAAATTTTACTGTGTGACAGTCCTGTGCAGGCAAGGTTTAGTAACAAAATACCAGCATTTTAAATGTTATACTTAAGCTAGGACACTTTTGTCTTTGCATTTGTCTTATGTTGCATCACCACATAAGTCCTCCTTTCCCAATATTGTGTCATCAGTGATAGCAAATCCTTGGGAAAAGTGAAAAATGCCCTAATTATATTTGCCCCAATATGCAGCCTGCAAGCTGCAAGCAGATGATGAAATTTTCCCTTTTCTCTAACATGTCATCAGAAATATCCCAAATTTCCTTAAAATATGACATCATTTTAAAAGGTTGATCTCCCACCCCGACTAACTTATACTTAAAAGTGCAGTCAAGACCTTTAGTTAATTATTTAACATCAATATTATCGATAATGATCGACACCAGAAACTGTGTATTAAAAACATACATTGGTTTCTAGACTTTTGAAGTCTAACTGATAAGGTTTTGGGTGCCACCATGTTGTGTGTTCCATACGCTGTAACAGTGAAACACACAGAAACACTTCTGCTTATTAGCACAGTTTAACAGACTGCTAATGCTAGCATTCTATTAGCTGCATGGCATGCACCACATAGCAGGCTGTACAAGTCTGTTCAGTCACACCTCAAATGCTACTGAAAGGTCTGGATCAGAACTAGTGAAAGTGAGGTCAAGAGATTAATTAATAAGTGAGTAACAAAGAATAATTCCTGTGCATCATTTGCATCGGTTACAAAGTCTGCAAAAGTCTATTCTGCAAAAGCACTTGACAAAGTTCACTGTATGAATGTAATAACCTCTGAGGCTGTTGCTGTTTATGCTTCAGTCTTCCTGCACCACCTTCACCACCTAACTAATGCTGTCCATCCCACGGACTAACCCCAAATCCCGTGGTGATAGATCCTTCTCTGTGGCAGGTCCCAGACTTTGGAATAGTCTCCCCTTAAATATTAGATCTGCACAAACACTGGAGCAATTTAAATCATTACTAAAGACACATTTCTATGCCCTGGCTTTTAACACACTATGACCCAAGTATTTTGGTCTTATTTGAATTAGTTTAGTTATTGTTTTAATTCTTTTACTGTCCTATTATTGTTTTTTATTGTTATTATTGTATTACACTGTTGCTTTTTAATGCCATTTTTATATTGTTAAGCACTTTGTGCAGCATCGGCTGTTTGAAATGTGCTATAGAAATAAATTTGACCTTGACCTTCACCACCTGCAGAGGTGTGACGTGAATATTTACAGGTTTATCTTGATGAACATTCATTTTCCTATATATATTTAATATGAAGGGGAAATCTCAGAGCACAATACTTTTTAGAAAAACTTTTCCCCCACCATGCAGTCTTCTTGATATTCAAGGAAAACATATAACATGTTGACAGCGTCAGTGTTTTCACCTGGGGAGGGCACTAGTCCAGCTTTTAGTTTCTTACAACAAGTCCTAGAGTAAATCAGCCTTAAACATCTTTACTTAGTTTAATCTGCACGATATCTGAAACTCTCTGTAACTCGCTTTACTGCAACAGAAGAATTTAGTTTAGAGAAGTTATTATAATGTCTAATGTCTGTACTGCTGAACCTTTGACGATATGTTGCTGTGCAGGATGTGAAAAATGATTTCAAAATATTTCTGTCTCAAAACAAACAAAAAACCCAAACAGATTCTCATCGTTTGAGCTTTTTCTTAAAGGAATAAGACTTAATATTCAAAATTGTGTGTTTTGCATATTAACATCGGTTGTTTCAGTTATATAAGACATACGACTTTCTGAACACTCTCCTTTTCTTCAAGGTCCGACACCACAAAGTATTCCACATTCACATGAGAACAAATTTGGTGAGAGTGTACATTTACTATCTCGCAGAAAACAGACATTTTCATGACGTCACGACAGTGTTGTGTGATGATCGCATGTGAATCAGTTTCCAGTCATCCTGACTCTTTTTGTTTTTTCTGAGGCAGTCGTCGTGTTGATCGTCTGTATGGCTTTTCTGCTGCTAGTGCTGCTGATGGTTGTCATAGTTTTGATCCTTATTTACAAACGTAAGTTCATTTATCACTTACCTTCATTTTTACACCGATATCTAATCATACATCTGGCAGAAAGTTGCCGTGACCAGGTGAGATTTCCAGATCTAAGACGTCAAGACAGAGTGAGCAGCAGAAGACGGTGGTTAGTTTCTAGCAGGTAAAAAGTTGGCGAGAAGGACCAGTGACAGAGGAGGCCGACCAGCACTATAGTGGTACTAACAATCTGGCGGAAAGCGAAGGTATCAGCCGGTCCTTAAAGACTGACAGGTTATTACTAGAGATGAGCCGTAGTTGAGGGAAGCTGGATGTGAGAATCGGAGCTTCCGGAGCGCATTGTGGAAAAATATGCCAAACAGCAACACACACACTGGATCCTGACAGATGTCAAATGAAGAGCTAGTTAAGTTGAAATGAATCTACGTTGTTCTGTTTCTTTTTGATTTCTCAGGCCTTTCACGTTCAAAGGATACAGGAAGTGAAGCAACAGCACAGAATATCAAAGAGGTGAGAGAATGGTGCACTATGTGTGACTGTGACTGTGCTATGATCCACGCAATCACAGGGAGCTTTCTGATGCAGGACCATATACTTGGCTGCCAGCAACCACGTGCCAACCAATCAGTCAATGCATATTTTTTTACTAAAGACCTGTGGTTGCCAGGGGGGTCACTGACACCTCTCTAGTCCACTGCGTCCAGGGAATTAGCAGTTTCCTAGCAACAACAGCACCCTGCAGCAACAACAGCAACCAGAATACACATGAAAGTAGAGTCACCGCCACATCATCAGCAGAGTGTACCTGCTAACACTGACTGATTGAAAGCTCTCCCAAGTAAAAAAATAGAGAACTGATTTAATGGATACATGATTAGAAATCCCTGGTTTCGCTTTTTTGGCCATTTTCATATCATTTTATTTGCCAGCGTTCTGAACTAAGCATTGCTTAACAGTTTTAGCAACACCAATTTGAATTTCAAGATGTACAGATAATGATTGATGATAAACCTCATCAGATCAAATATAAACAGCTCAAACTGTCATTTCTTCTCCTCTTTCTGGCAAGGACAATATCTATGAAGAAATAGAGGAGCATTTCCAGAGTCCAGGCTCAGAAAATGCCACAAACACAGTTTATCTCACCGTCGATCATCCTACAAACCATCCCGCCTCACTCCATTACTCCACCATCAACTTTCCGATCAGCTCTGACATAGCTGCTGCTGAGACACTGATCCTCACGCCCAGCTCATCGGCCTGCAAATATTCGACTGTGAAGCACAGCACGAGTCTGACTATGTCGACTGCCACACACCCACTCAGACCTCCACAGGAGCCTCTCTACTCAAAAGTCGAGAAGTTGAAGCCAAAACAGAAATAAGGTCTGTGAAGAAATATGAAATACATTGACTCATTTATGTCAAATCATGTATAGTAATTTAAAAAAACAAAGAGGTGAAAAACAAGTGTATCAAAATGTTGGCAACAAACTGAAAAGGAAGTGTGCTGACGTAGAGCTCGACATGTTTTGAAACCAGTCTGATAAGATGAAACTTGCGGTTCTGTTGCGTAGATAAATTCTCTCTACATTTCCTTCCTTGAGATGTTTTTGGTTACAAAATATGAATCTGCTTGCATGCGTTTCTTGTTTGTCCTTGTGCTTTCATGAATGCTGGTATAGTGATAGGATTCACACAATTTTGTAATATTTCTATGATCACAGTTCCCACATTTCTTAGTGAAATCTTGTGATATTTGGAAATGATAAAAAATAGTTTAAATCCAAGATTTGAAAGGAAATCTATTTTTAAATCAAACGGGAAATGACTTTATTCTCTGCGTGGTTATGTTTAACTTAAAGGACTCCATATTCAGCAAGAAAGCCTTGATAATGTTAGCGTTGCATAAAGTCAGAGTTTATGAAAAAAAAAAACGATGTATTTTATTGTTGAACCAATGGTAAATGGTTTGATTCTTATACAGCGCTTGTGTGGGTGTGCCTTATTCGCACCCACTCATACAAGCACTTCTATACACAAGTGCAAACTAACCTGCATTCACACACATTCACACTCCGATGAACGCATCGGAGGGCAACTTGGGGTTCAATTCAATTCAATTCAATTTTATTTATATAGCGCCAAATCACAACAAAAGTCGCCTCAAGGCGCTTCATAGATACAGAGAAAAACCCAA